AGGGGATGGAATAAAGCTGTGGACTGAGGCAGAAGAAGGAACTGCATCCAAGTCTTCCAGAACTGTTGAATTCCTTAACCGCTGTGCTGTTATATAGAGTGGGTGAGAAGTCCATCACCTCCTACTCCAACTGCGTGAATCTAGCCCTGAAAATTGTTTTCCAGCTGATTTTGACCTATTTTGCAAACAGCTTTAGAATGATGAAAAATGCAGTTTTTGGGGAGAGTTCAGTATATATGTATCCAAAAGTATATTTTTCTCAAGTTCTCTTGCCTTCCCTCCCACTCTTCCTTTTCCCTTTTCCAATGGATAGAGCAGTCTGTCTGCATAAAACTTCTCTCTCCTTGAGTTCTACCAATAGAAAGTTACTATTCCTTCCGGACTAATGCTGCTTAAAGGGTTTTTCCCCCCTAATACTAATAAGGAAGGACAGGGCCCCTAAGGTCAACAAATACTAATGAGATGAATGAGGAGATGTGACTGAAATGGGACCCAGTGTGACACTGCTGTCTCTAAAGAATCTATCACTCGAAGAAAACAGGCTGGGGCAATCTAGCATCTGAACTTCCAGTGCCGTTACCATGGTTTCTATACAAAGAGGAATGGATTGCATTCCAATTATATTCTTCACAGTGACAAATAAGAGGAAAATAGGAAATGGACGAATACAATTGTAGGTGACCTAGCACAGATGTGACAGATCCAAGGGTCAGTTTACATTTGCCTCTCTGAAAATACCTAAATATACAGAAGTCTAATTACTGTACTGTGTCCTAAACAACATGATCTAGTGATCTTGTCCTCCAACTTTGTTTGTTATGATATAAAGGTGATTTGAAGTAACATAAGAATAGCACAGTGAATGTGAGTTGTTTTGTTGTTCTGGAGAACCCCCAGAAGGACAAGCTGGTAGTGTGGCATACTGACTTGTCAGGGTTTTTTTCCTGTGCGCTTCAGTCAGTAGTTTGTCTTTGCCATCATTGTTTTAATCAGTGCTGAAACTCAGATGCAGCCGGATGGACAATATAACTTATGACTGACATGCTTAATTTCGTTAAAGGAATGTCATTGGGTTTAGAATTTGATTTAGAGTTAGGTTAGGAAGATCCTAAAGGAAAATATGAACTCTAGATTCAGATCCAATTTTAGTGAAACATGGTTGATTAATGTATTATATTACCATTTCCTGAAACTCTGTCTATTAGTTGAAGGCTGTTATGGCTAGGTACAGAGGTTACACTTACTGCATGGTAAGTGCACAGAAAGTGCTCTACAGCCATAACTGAGCAGATGGTCAGGGTACATTGAATGCAGTAAAAATGGCAGATCCTGCTCTGAGATAACCCTGGATGGATGTAGTATCAGACTTCAGCACTGTAGGTTAGAGCACCGTAATGAACATCTATACCATATCCGATTGTGACTCATATTAGGTCGCATTCTGCTGGCAACCCATGGATTTTGTGGCACCTTGATCACCCCCACTCCCAGGGTAATGCTCTAGCCTCAGCCAGAGCTTGTGTGATCTGCCAGAGCACTGGGCTGGTCCTGCCCCTGGGCTGTCACTGAGAAGAGTCAGCAAAGCACCTGTTTCCAACTCTGCCCCGCTCTTGATCCTTCCAGGCAGCTAAGAGCCACTGTCTGGTATTATTGTTCAGTATGCAGATTCCATCTACCCTGTCTGGGCATTTGGAGAGATTTCAGCTTTCAATTAAGTGCTGTGCTGATTCCTGGATGCTGCATTTACGCAGAGGGCTGTCTTAGATGTTGATCTAGTACAGTGTTGTTTTGAAGTGTATATATTCAGATCTCACTTTGTTCAGCTTGACCCACACTTCTCTGTCAAGGTCATGCCCAATGGGGGACTTGTTTGGCACTTGAACGAGCTATCTGGGCCCAGGAATGCACTGAGAAGTTCCAAGACTGAGGTCTCCAGATGTCCACCCACTGTCTCAGGCAGGCCACCCTCACCACTATGGAACTGAGAAAGTCACAATTTCAGGATAAGGAGTTTATGCACAGGGTCAAAGACCGCTTGGAATACAGCTACGACACCCCTAAGTGCCCTCAACGCTGCCTTCTGCAGGGAGACCATTGCCCTACTAGGCAGAAATGGTAGGGCAGGCTGTGCCTTCAACTAATAGACAGAGTTTCAGGAAATGGTAATGTAATACAATACATTGTGACAATATGCTGCCTACTCCCTTGGCATGGAGAGCCCTGCTCTAGGGACTTCTCACTGGGGCAACATTCATGACTATCCCACGGGGGTAGAGGGGGATGGCAGCCGTGGGGGGAATGCTCCATACTGTGCATTTATTGGGAGATGCTTGGGGGATGGCATGAATGCTGCATGCCCCTGGAGGCTGGGGGGTATGGTGACCGCTTGCAGGCGGCGTCAGCAGTGTTGGCAGTGGGCGCATGGCAGCGGCGAATGGGGAGCTCCTGCAGGCAACCACAGCAGTGTCAGCGGTGGGGCTGGGCCAAGCAGAGAGCTCCCACAGGCAGCCACAGAGGTGTTGGCAGTGGAGGGTGGTGGGGGTGGTAAGCACCGACCGGCACTTGGTGACCACCTGAAGACGCTGCTAGCAGTGTCGGCGCCATCCAGTGGCAATCAGGTACCACCTGCAGATGCTGGTGGCAGTGTTGGCAGTGAGGGGGAGGGGAGGCACCGCTGGCAGCATCGGCGGTGCTTTTTGCAAGGGGTGCACCACCAAGCTCAGGGGGTACATGTGCACTCACTATGTGTTGCCACTGGGGGACAGGGAAGCCCGGGAATAGGAGATACTGCATGTGGGAGCTGGTGACCCATGGCCCAGGTAGTCAGGAACACATTCAGTGGGGCCTACTCTGGGGAGCAGCATTATAGGGGAGGGGAAAGGGACCAGGATACCTGAGATCTGCTGCCAGGGCTGGCATTGACTCAGCTCACCTTTCAGGACCAACTCACTACCCCCAGCCACTGGCAGTTATTGGCATAGGTGCAGGGCCCCAAAGAGGTCCCAGCCCAGTCCCCAAAGGGTGCAGGAGTACTCAGAATGGGGTGCGGGGGAAGGGGGAGAG